TATCTATCTATCTATCTATCTATCTATCTATCTATCTATCTATCTATATATATATATATATATATGTATCTCCCTCATTTCTCTTCCCACAGACTACCCCCCACCCTTCGCTCTCTTACAGCTCTTCGGCACGAGAAAAGTCACATAAAAATAAACACCACAGCCAGGGCGGGATGCGGCACCGTCGTCCTACCTTGCAGGGCTGTGGTGCGGCCAAGCGGTCAAGGAGACGCCACGGCTTTTACGGCAAAGTTACGGGGATTGCGACGGTCGCCATTGGTGAGTATCCATTTCAGGCCGGACCTATTTTCAGACCGGTCCAGGGCTGGAGGGGAACCGAACAACCTTCCCCCTCCCCCGCCAACCGCAGCACCCCAAACCCGGCTTCGTCTTCCACAACTGGGTCTCACGTTACCGCCGCAACGGCCCGGAGCAAATGGAAGTACGCACGGGCGCACCCCGGAAGTGGATGGGGGACAGATATAGTTGAGGGACCGGAAGGCGTAAGGAACGAAAATGAGGTCTGCGCTACTTTTGCCCTCTATTTTTACTATTTCTAGGCTATTGTTTTTTATTATATTACTTCTATTTCCTCTAAGTGTTACTTTTTTGATGTTTCTCATTATTAATTTGCATATTTAAAAAATATCCACTTCGCCCGAGCATAAAAGAAGGCCCCGTCAAGGGAGGCCGCCATTTTGGTCACGATTCTCTACGAGCGCTTGGAGCGTCGCCCGCTCTAGGATTTGACACGCCCTCTATGGACCAGCCCACCCAACCCATCCGTCTGTTTCCACAGGGAGAGGAGGGAGTCACTAACGGAAGTGACGAAATGCAGGGGGGAGTTGACGATGATGCAACCTCAATGTTTCCCTACTACACTATAGCAACTTTAAAGAAATGTGAACTTCAACTCCCAGAATTCCCTTGGTCACACCTTTTAAAGTTTCTATGGTTGGGAAATGATAATAGGTTAAAATCTATGTAATAATTCCTTATTTCTCTGCTCTGGGAAACCAGCCAAAGGCAATATAACACATCTTCCTGAAATAAATAATATGAGTAAAAATCCAAATATTATATAAATAAATATCAATTGGACAATTCTATTAGAATAGCACATTCTCACTACCCTAGCTTCAAACTATTATTGACTTGGTTATCAAATCACCCAATTTTCTAGATTCACTGTATGAACTTGAATTTGAACATTTGGTTTCATTTACTTTATTGCCATTGCACCTGATACAATGAAATTAAATGCTATCTTCAGTGTACATTATAACTATAAAAATAAAAACAAACACACCTCCTTCACATGCTACATAATTGAAATTGAAAATCCGATATTGCATTAATAATGCACCATACCATAGAATTCAATATAGTTACTGCCCTGGGATAGAAGCTGTTTTTCAGTCTATTTGTCCTTGTTTTATTCTCCTGTACCGGCTGCCAGATGGTAATAGTTAAAAAAAAAAGGATGCCCAGGATGAGATGGATCTTTAAGAATGTTTTGAACTCTCTTAAGGCAGCAGAAGCTATAAAGCTCTTCCAAAGAGGGCAACGCATGGCCCTCTGGAGCGCTGTCCTATCTGCCACTGCGTAATTGGCAAACCAGACACAGGTCCAGGAAGTTAAAACGTGCTAAAGATCCCCAAAATATCAAACCAAGTTAAAAATCAGCTAATTGTGGAAATGCATTCCCTCGCCTTTAACTGATTTAAGAGTTCATGCTGAGCATCCAAATCGTAAAAGAAAGAAAGATACAACCCAAATACATTAATGATGACAACAATGCGTGGTTTGGGATGTGTTTGGGACATGGATGATTGCTGAACACATCAAGGTGACCATGTTACTTAATACAGGTAATCCTCCATTTATGACCACAATTGAGCTCAAAATTTCTGCCTTTATGTGAGACAGCATTAAATAAACGTTGCCCCATTTTACCATCTTTCTCGCTTCAGTTGTTAAGTGAATCACTGCAGTTAATAAGTTAGTAACTCATGTTAAGTGAATCTGGCTTCCCCATGGATTTTGCTTGT